GGGGATAGTTGTTTTTGGGGGGACTTCAAGGGGGGTCTTAAGAATTTTTTTGTCATTGAAAGATTTCAGCTGCCCCCCCCCCCCCCCCTGCCATACATTATGAACGCAGCCTTAGCCGTATGGTACCTCATGTATACCGGTACGAAGATGTAAATCACCAAATACATTTGTTGGTAGAATAAAATAATGTACCTTATAAAACCTTCATACCTGTCGGCAATGATAACAAAAATATTGTAAAAATGTTAGTCAGTTCACAACTCAACTGATTCCAACATGAATCTGATCCTTTTGAGGTTTAACGCAATTTTGAAAATTTTATTCCGGAAATGATATATACGTGCCATATTAAAGGTCCTATCTTCTGGACAGCAGAAAAAATAATTACCGGTTAATGTAGGTGCTGACATGTTGGCGTTTTGATAATGACGTGTTGGCGGATGATTATATGATACTTGTGATTTGGCGGTCATAATGATGGTAAAGATGGTTATAATGATGATGTTGATGATGGCGGTCATGATGATGGTAATGATGGTCATAATGAAAATGTCAGGAGCTCAATGATGGCTAAAACCAAAAGAAAAACCCAAATGTCATCTTTAAGAAATTCTATTATTTTCAATTTTAGGGAACAATTGTGGCTGCTGCTGCTGCTAAATGATGATGATGGTGATGATGCGATGATGATGGCGGTCATAATGATGCTGATAATGATGATGATGTTGATCGTGGATGATGGTGATGATGATGGTTGATGGTGATGATTGCGATGGCGATGATGATGACGACGATGGTGGTAGTGACGATGATGGTGGTGATGATGATGATTATGAAGACGATCACGGATGATGATGACGATGCAGATGATTCAGATGCTGATGATGGTGGTGATGATAATTATGAAAGTGATGATGATGATGATGATACTGATGATGGTGGTGGTGGTGGTGATAGTGATGGTAGACCATTGTCTTTCTATCCACTTTGTTTCATATCATGCCATCAACAAGAAATGAGTTACCTATTCTTTCACCTTTCATTGAGTACCATGTTTTTCCTTAGAACATGAAGCCGTACTATACAACAGCTCTTTTATTTCCATCTTGAACTTCAACTTAGCTTCCTTGCAAAACAAATAATGCCTTCAACAATTGTTTTGTCATTACGGGACCTCAAAGTAATAATAGGTTATCATTTATTATTATTTTCATGTAAAAAAAACCTATCAGTTTTTGTTTATTTTTTATGTGCCTAATGATATCTAAAACAAACTCTGCGCTTTTGAAATTTTTGGTTGCGGCTCACTCACAGAACAATGAAACTGAAAAAGCTTTGCTCTTCAAAGCCAGCACAAAGGAAAAGCGAACTTTTTTGTTAAAACCAGGTTATATGTGCTTCATGTCTGTAAGAAATCTGAATTCGAATTAAAAAAATGATTTWAAAAAAAACAATGTATAACTGAATAATGAAGACTTTTTTGTTGCATTCATGTGCTCCATTATGGCAATTCCTAGCTTTAACCGTGAAATGAAATGAAAATATTCCATTAAATGTGAAACTTTGGACACCAAAGTGAAACATGTTATTTCTGAAAGTCCATTTACTTTTGGCGGGAAAACAGTGATGTCGCCATGGTAACGAACGTATTTATATTTCTTGAAAGAGGGTTTATTTATTGATTGCAGATGTTTGGATTTATAGCACTCGCGCGCAAATTAAAAGAGTCTGTAAGATTTATTCAGCTTTAGAAATTTAGAAAGTCTCTTTTGTTCGACGAAATCCAATGATAAACATTAGATGTAACTAGATTATTAAACAGAGATGAAGTGGAATTCTTAAACTTTATTCAGAGAGGCCAAGGTAAGGTTTAAAATCGTTAAAAAACTTAAGGGTTTTTCTATAACTTACATTTTTTCTTTCATTTGTCAAGTTGTTCTTTTATACCATCATGTTTATTTTAACTTTTCCACTAGCGTCAAAATATAACGTTTTAAAATCTCATTAGAACATTTTGTTTATCTGACGTTTGGACCTGAAAGCTATGTCCTGTTTCTCTAGAATTCCGAAATCTAGGGATATGAAGCCTTTCAATGCATTTTCCAAGGTTTTTTTCTCATCGATACTATTCACTGGAGTCCTACTCCTTATGTAGCAGTAGAATATGATGTAGCACTATTTTGTTTCGACTGAATACTATTACTTTAATAAAATACTTTCAAGTCATTTGTGCATCAATTTGTAGAGAAGTGTCCTGTCTTCACTTCTGAAAGATATTAAATTTTAAGAGTGTGCCTTTAAAACTTAAAAGAAAAACGTAGAAATTTTAAAGAAAAAATGCCAAAATAGTTTCCCATTCTCCGCCTAACTCAATTAGGTTTATGAAAAATGTCAGAGTTATGGCTCCAAAAATTTTAATTCTCAATGCCGTCAAAACGTTTTTGATTGCTTTCTGCTTAAAAGCGACTTCAATAATATAAAACGATAAAAATCGTTAAGATAAAAATTCCGATTCTTAAAACTATCCAAGACTCAATAAAAAAGGCAAAGGTTTTGCTAAAACTTTTCATTTGACATATAATTGAAATATCTTTAATGGGATTTCATTAATCCTGTAGACTTCTGGAAATCCTTTTAGCATTGTTTGCACAGTTTACGTACAGTTCAAAGCTTGGAATTCCTTTCATTTTGCAGAAGTTGTTTGTTCAATGTTTTTACTTGCCTTTATGTCATGTGAATTCGGCTTCAGCAAAAGCGAATAAGAAAAGTTATTTCGGCAATTGTTACTCGGACTAGTACTAGTACAAGTGCAAGTCGTCGACATAGAATAGCATCGAAAGTAAGTATGAATTTCTAATACTTAATTTCGTCTATTTCTGGCTTCAAATTGTCGAATCTCTTGAATCGGCTGTCAAAAAAGCGCTTTTTGATCCCTGAAATTCTCTTATTTCATTTGAAACTTGAAAACCTCTACCTGGGATGATCTAAGTAAACGCAAGGCTAACTCACAAATAGAATTGGGATTAGAATTGATTTTGTAGAGGGAGGAAAACCGGAGAACCAGGATAAAAACCCTCGAATCAAAAGAGAAAAGTAACAAACTCTACTCACTTGTGTTGCCGAGTCCAGGAATCGAACCTGAAACCCTAGAGGTGAGAGGCGAGTGATATAGCTACACATACAAGTGATTCCCCCAAAAGTTTATTAAAAGGGCTATAATACCTTAATAAATGTAGCACGTATTTAACTGACAAATATTTTGGATTTTTACACTCTATAATGCATGTTGTAGGGATAAAGGCACTCTTCAAGATGGCGTCGTTGTTCGAGTACCCTCGATTGATCAAGGAACTTTTCTCAAGGTCCACAACAACGAAGACCTTCGAGTCTCTTATCCTTATCTTCCTTATTCTTTGTGCACTTCTCGGCAACTTACTTGTCTGTTATGTAGTAACTAAGAACTCCCGCCTTAGGACTGTATCGAACACGTTGGTGCTGAATCTCGCTATTTCTGACGTCCTGATGGCATCCCTTTGTATGCCCTTGTCTTTGGGAGTTCTCATCGCTGGAGAATGGCCGTATGGGAATATAGTGTGTGACATGCATGGATTCTTAATCTTTTCATTTGGAATTGTTTCAGAGGTACGATAAGGTAGAATAAAATATAGTCGGGCAGGGTTTCAAAGGCAGCCATTTTTGCATGACAAGAGAATTCCATTTCTCAACTTCCCAAAGGGAATAAATCGTCCTTACTTTTTAAGGGTAGCACTAGTGAGAAAAGCCTCTGATGTTTCTATTGTTTGGCCCTGCAACTTGGTTACTATGGAGTCCCTCTATAGGTTAATCAAACACCTTTGTTTCATAAAATAAACTTTTAAAAGTCGTACGCATCCCCCAACACGTTTTATCTCTAGACCAAGTGGGCAATTTTTTCAATTCCACTGAAGAAATCGATGGGTCCCTACGAGGCCATTTCCATAATAAAAGTAGCATCAATAGGAACCAGTGGTGGGGGAAAATCCTGTTTTCATTCAATTTGCCTTCCCCATGGAGCAATACGAAAAATAGTTAGCCCTAGCAGTATGGTGGTCCTACCTTCTCCTTAGTTTTATAAGTCTTTGAAAATGAAATTTTCAATAATTAGAAATATTCTTTACTTTACAACATTGTATCCTGTAAAATTCAGATGAAAAGAAGAAAAGGTCAACCGAATAGCACGAATAGATCCATAAATAGTTCTTTTCTGTTTGAGAAAGGCGAATAATGATGCATTTTCATTTCTTCCAGGCGACAATGTGCTCTATCGCCATCAATCGCTTCTTCGCCATTACTCGACCCTTCAGCTACACTTCAGTTTTCACGCCACAAAACATTCGTATCATCATCGTGTTTCTATGGTTACTGCCATTATTAGCAAGTGTACCGCCATTTGCTGGCTGGGGTTACTATGCTTTCCAGCCCGGCAAAGCCTTTTGTATTTACCCCTTTAATGTCAACATCGTATATACCGTTCTAGTCGAGGTGTTATTCATTTTTACGCCCATGAATATCATTATCATAAGCTACAAGAAATGCTACACAGCGATGAAACAGAACAATCGACGTGTGGCTGATATGACGGTCAGTGGGTCAGTGGATAGCCGTAGAAGGGAGCAGGAGTCCAGGGCAACTCGGACAATGATGACCGCGACTGCTGGGTTCATGCTGTGTTGGATGCCTGTTGCTGTTATTGATTTTGCTGATATCTTTACAGGTTAGTTGAGTATATATTTCTACCATGTCAATAATATTTCACCTTCAACTGTGACCTCTTGAACTGTAATGCTTTACATTTCATAGCAGCAACGAGTTCAAAAGTTAGTATTTTATCCTCACTGCATACTCATTACCGAGCCACGGGAATTAAGATATGGAAGGTGACCGCGACTGCTGGCAATGAGCATGCGAAGAGCATGCGATGCGTCGCCAACCGCCACCAAGGGAGGTGGGTGGGGTGAATCTTCTACTCTCCCCTTAGGCAGCTTCCGACGGAATGATTCAAGGATCTGGGTGTGGTGCTTATATATGCAGGGGTCGCAAAGCATTACACCCGCACTGCGCAAACTCCAATGTCCATATATGGGGGGTTGCTAAATTCCTACGTGACACGCTAATTATGTATGCAGTTAGGATAGGGAAGTAATAGCTCAAAAACGAGTGCGAGTGTTTGATCAGGGCTTCCCAATTTGACACACTTTTATCGAGAGCTCGTAATAGGTTACTCAGCGAATCTCAACATCGATTGCATCGTTTGAAAGCTTTATCTTATATTGTACAACCATCACTCTTCGTAAGGGGCTGTTTATGATAATTTGCGCTCTATAAATGTTCTTTTATTATTAATTATTTCATTATTATTTATTTCATTATTATTGATTTTATCATTATTTTTTTATTGCTGATTTTATTATTATTGATTTTGTTATTATTATTGTATTATTATTTATTACCATTAACGTTTTCTAAATATTTTATCATTTTTCTAGGTGGAGGCAACCTGCCTCGTCAAGTCTACATGCTGAATGCTTATCTCATTTACATATCCAGTACGATCAACCCGTTTATCTACTGGCTCATGAACAAGGACTTCAGGCGAGCCTTTAAAGAGGTCTTACCTTTCTTCAGCGCGACTTCAATAGATAGTGGTATTAATTCCATGACCAGAGGAGACAGATCTGTTGGTGCTCCTACAGATGTCACTTTACAGAGCTGAAAAGGACCAACTCAACCTTGACCTAATACTTTCCCATTTCAGACCACGTGTCACTCTCTTGAGAATAAGATCTTTGTCTGTTTCTGGAAAGAGAAAACAGAGATTAGGTCTATAACAAGAAACGTCGTGTAGATAAATTTTGACACATTTGGATACTTGTCAAAAAAGGCGGATTCAGTAAGAAGAATTCCTCGGTTTCAGTTGAGTTGACATTATTTATGTAAATATTAATGTCCATGTGCATTCCATATTGACAATTGGTGTTTGAAAATCAAATAGTTTTAGTGTTTATCCATTAGGATATTTAAGATTTCAATTTTGGCTCTTAACGTGACTGACTACTTTTGGAAAAAATATTAAGCTTTTTTTAAAACTTCGATTTTCCGAATTGAACTTTAATACCCGATTCCAAACCTGGAAAGAAAAATTGGGTTTCCCGAGCTTGTTTTCGAGATAATCAGCATTTAATGGAAGCCTACGCGCGAGCTTATGAAGCAAAAATTGGGAAGTGATTAGAAAAAAATTAAGATTCATAAGATAATAGTTATTTGCAGACTCTATGATTGCACGAATGAAGGCTAGTCGACCATTCTACAATAATACATAGATATTTTCGAAAAAAAGACAAAGAGATCTCAAAAAATCTCATAAAGTCGAACAAAATTCCCTACAAAAATCTATTTTTTCATGTGTTAGTTTTTGAGCGCGCGCACATCGTGAGCTCAAATCGAACGTTCAAAAGTAGGCAGCCACCTTAATCATAGACCCCTTGCAGCACGTCGGAATGCAGCTCAATTTGGAGGAAATAACAATAGTTTTTCTAAATCACCTTTTGAGCCCTAGCCCAAAACGTGTTGGATTGTGTCAGTACGGTCACCACAAAGTTCGGACATCGTTCTCGGATTCCCGTACAAATTCACTGACTTTAAAGAGAAAATATAGGTAGATTTCTTTAGTTGGCTCTCTTAACAGCAATAAGAAAAGCTTCAATCAAACCGGAAAACTGATATTTTGCTTGTATTTAGAGAGCTAACTAAACAAACCGAGTAATGATAACTTGCTTAAAATTCAGTACATTCGTACGGAAATCCGAGAACAAGACCAATCTTCGAACTACTTCGGTTACCGTAAAACAATCCAAGACGTTTTATATCGCGTGATGGTGAATTCTCAAGAGATAGAAATTCTTTTGTTTTGTCCTCCAAATTAAGCTGCTTTGACGTCAGATGCGAATGTTCTATAGTTATTTCGCACATATTATCCAGGATATATTCTAAGCCTGTTTTTATAATAAGCTATTTTAAATAAGCCTAGCAAGTCCTTGATAAGGGGACATCTATATGTACCACCATTCAATGCGAGCACCTCTGTAAAACCGACCCCTCTAACTGATAATACGGACACTTCAATAGTTCGATTTGTTATAGATAGCAGCTTTGATAAAGCAATATATTTGAGGCCAATAAGTTTTCTTTATCTTTTAAATTTCGTTGCATTTATAAATTTTTACAGCGCGACGTGTAAAGCATGACCGGCAATAAAGTGTATAATTTATGCAAGATATTTTCTACATTAAACCGACACATTTCGATGCGAAGTTGGCTGGCTTTACCAAACAAGGCGCACAAAAGCTCGTTTGGTAGCAAAAAGCCCGTGTACAGAAGTATGCCAATATACAACATTAAATACATTTGCGCGTGGCGCTGTAAGCTGCAATTTGCGGATTTGCAAGTAGCAACGGTAACTATGTTTGCAGTTAGCAACAGCATCTGCGGTAATAAAAATTCTTTAATGCCGTTTTTGCTCGCTAATTTTTAAAATGATACAACCTGATCTTTTCCCGTTCCAAGGAAATAAGGCCCCGTCCACGCGTATCCGTAAATTTTTGGATCCGCAATTTTTTTGGGGGGGTACGAATGGACGCAACCCGTATCTGCAAAAAAAAAATTTCCGGATACGCGTGGACGGTGCCTAAGTCATTCAACCTTAGCGTCCGAAACGTCAGTAAGTTTTTTCATCTTTTCACGGTGTTAAATTTACCCTTTTATCATTACTGTTTCATTAGAAACACCGACGCAGCTCACACTAGTTTTTAGCTAGTTATCTCATCAAATGTAGTTCCATTTTAGTCTCGTTTTTGTTGCCCTTCCCACCAACTGACAGTAAAATTTTGCTTTCTTCAAAACGAGTCACATTTTGGCGCCATTACGAATTGTTTATGTTCGTATCCATTCACGTGTTTCACAAAATCGAATAGTATCGAAATGATCAAAGGTTTACCAGCAAACACAATAGAAAACCTGCTGACGGGCGACAAATCCAACCACATATTAATAAACAAATTCACTTTTGTATCCTTCTTTATATACTCTTTAAACTAACTTCAATTTAATTTTGCGGTAAATACAATTATTATAGATAAAGTTTGTGGTTTTATCTGGTCTTTTATTAGGCTATAATCAAAGAAATTTTAAAATTACGTCCGCGTGAACCGAAGAGCTGGTAGATTAAGTATTTTGCATGGCTGAGCGAGTGAGCGCGCGCAAAATCTTTTACATAAAAGTTATTCATAACTTAAACTTAATTTTTAAAAATTCTATTAAACCTTTGTCTCCTGTTATATTTTTTTCCTTGGATTATAAGCTTGGGGAAAATAAAGGGAGAAAGATTTATTTGGAAGGCGTAACAGACCTTGAGATTTTCATTCATTATTCATAACTCTGACGTAGAGCTAGTGAAGCAAAACAGGACGAAGCGATCAGGTGTTTTCCAGGTCAATTCAAGCGAGTCTTTTTGATTTTCTCGCCGGCGTTTTTCTTTCCTTTCGCGCGATTTTAAAGTTTATCTCTACCATTGAAAACCGTTTAGTTTTACAAGAAAATTCGAAATTGTAAAAGAGGGAGCCTGGGGAAACCGTGTTTTGGAAAGACATTGAAAGTTTGCGGACGGTAAACGGAGATGAATCGAACTTGAAGTTAGAAGACGACTTGATTACAGAAAGATCACTCCAAACGGTGAGTCAAAGAATTTTACCAGAAATAATTTCCAATGAAAAAGAATTCATCTATTGAAGCGGTCTCGTGGTAAAAAGCTAACTCTCAGAACTAAGAGAAGTTTTTGGCCCAAGTTTTTCGACTTTACAGTGAGTTTTGAGTTTATTTTGGCTTTCTGTTTGTTGAGTAATATAAAAACAATCAAAATTCTATCAATAAACTAGGTTTTCTTCGAAAAAGAGGGATAAATCTCCCAAAGTCATACGATCTAATAAGATTATACTTAGCAAACACTTATGAATAGTGTAATAATTATTTGATAAAATCTTTATAAATTTTGTAAAATATAATTCGAGGGAGTTGGTTCAATTCAGTACGTTCGTTGGTGCACTTACTTGCAAGCATTCTAAACCTCGCGATTGAATATCATCTTAATCATGGTGGTTTCAATGTCTTACTTTTACTTGAATTCTGCTTGGAATTTTAAAAAATCATCAGCAATTCGATCATGGTTAGTTAATATAGTTAAAAAAATAAACGTTTTTAATAAACTTTCTTGGCTCTAAAATGTTGGTTTTTCTTTCGTGTGTAAATTATATTTGAAGTGTGGCAAAGATGACGATATTTTATATCTCTGGATTATTCAATTTTGAGTGACGCACCTATATTACATTATATTTTTATTCTTTTAACGGATCAAATCGCATTGCTTCATGAAAATTTCAATCTTTAGGGAGATATCGTTGTTTGTCAGATATGAAGCGAAGGACAACCTTGTACTGATTGAACTACCAATATGATCAATTATAAAAAGTCTTTAAACGAGACAAGTTAACAAAGCTTATTTCAAACAACGAAGTAAATATCAAAGTATTGGCCATTCCGAGTTTAAGGAAAAAAGCCGAGTTGAGTTGGCTTGGCTGTGCATTTTGGGGCTGTTTTAGGGAACAAAATAGCCGCCATCTTGGAAATATGTCCTTAAAATAGCCCCAAAATTTACTGCAATGCCAACTCGACGCAGTTTTTTTCCTCAATCTCAGAATAGCTTATTCTACTTTAAAAGATGAATACTAGCCAGATAATTAGGCCATTGACAACAAAGTTGCACACATTCTTCTATTCAGTTTTAGCACTCTGCTGTAATTAGCATGTGCAGAGGTTGAAATCCAAAAACCCATGGGCCATATGCAATTATTTCAGAGTGTTTGTCACTCAATGGTTGTGATCCGGTGGAAAGATATTAGATCCATCGCTTGTTATCTCAATATTGTATCAAAAACTTGCCAGTACTAAGTTAGACACGTGTAGGAAAAAACTTCCCAAACAGTCCCAAATTAGGGCACAACAAATTCGATTGGGGCAACACCTGGGGTGCTTTCCATTTACCCGGAAAAACCGAACTGGAAATTCCGGTTGGAAACAAATGGTATGCATTATTCGATTCCGATCGGAAAGTTCCCGAAAACTCGGTCTTCTGATTGAGGTAATCCACTTTTCCTGCTCTTTTCGGTTCTTCCGGTAGACGCGTGTACCATTTCTCGAAAATCAAAATTTCCCCCTCTTTCCTTACCATCAGCGACTAAGTTTCTAACCGGATGGATTGGTTTAAATAGTAAGCACCCCTAGAGTCCAAATCACTAACCACTAGACCATTTTTACATTTAAAAATCGTGTCTCAAAAGATTTTTTTTTTAATATCATTTCAGAGAATAAAAGACAGCCATGAGTGAAAGCGAAAAGCAGACAGAACCCAAACCTGATCCCTACGAGGGGGAGGGTGAGGCAAAATCCAGCAAGTCAGGAAAAAAGGCATTCCCCAAGAGATACATCGTAGCCATCATGGTGTTCCTTGGTATCTGCGTACAGTATGCTTTAAGGGTTAATCTTAGTGTGGCGATTGGTGCTATGTGTAACCCTCACACTGTAGAGGAAAATGGTTTCACTATTACTAAGGTGTTTATTTACCATTTTTTAAATAAACTTATATCCTGTGTTATTTTTCTAATTTTTTTTTTTTGTTTTTTGTTTGTTTTTTTTTGTTTTTGTTTGTTTGTTGAAGAAATAGAAAACGCGCACGCGTGCTGTGTGTAGTTAGAGCAGTTTTCGTATGACTTAGGAAAGTTCAGTGCAGCAAGCGTGCCGTGCCGTGACCGTCAAGTTTTCTAGAATATTAATTGGCTGATTTTTTTCTCACGCAATGTGATTGGCCTGTCAGTGACGTGACCTTGGTGTGACTGTGCCTACGCCGTGTTCCAGGTATTTGGTTGGACGGAGAGTAAATTCTCGAGCAATGTGATTGGTCTGGTGTATCCCTTGCTGTGTCACGACCGTGTGTGTGCTGTGAGCTTTTCACAGTCATACGAAAACTGCTCTATAAAGCACGCGGGGGTTGGCAGAAGACGAGAGAAGTGTTTGGAGAAGCATGACGCGTAGCGGTGTGCTCCTCGTCACCTCTATCGTGTCCTGCCAATCCCCGAGTGCTTTATAACTGCACACAGCACATCAAGCAAGTTTTTTATTTCTTTTATAAAATACAAATTTCAAATTTTTTTTGGATAGAAATGACGCAACTGAAAGTGCGCGCGTGTGCTGTGTGCTCTCATAAAGCATGCGCTCCCAACCAACCAGAACGCGAGATTTTTAACAGTTATTTTGAAATTGTTATTATCCCTTGATTAGTATTAAGTTATTATTATTTATTTATGACTCTCTTCTTTTCTTTGGATGTACAGAAAGCAGAATTTGACTGGAGCTCCCAGCTACAAGGTATGAACGCACTTACATCATTGCTATAGCAACAACGTTGTCATGGTAACACGCATTTTATTAATGACTGATTTCATGCTATTTGTCTTGAAGGTACCATTCTTGGTGCATTCTATTACGGCTACATGACAATGCAGATCCCCGGTGGATGGCTTGGTCAAAGGTTCGGGGGTACCCGGGTATTTGGTATCTGTCTTGGGATTGCTTCTATTCTCACCATGTTGACTCCAATAGCTGCTCGAACGAGTGTTGTCGCTCTCATAATACTACGAGTTATCGAGGGTTTAACTTTGGTAAGTTTTATGATAATGACTATGAGTTCGACTAGAAACTAGAGTGCTCAGATGTAACTTTATTATCAGTACTACCGTATACTAGGGCACAGCTAACTCACAGTTTTTAGAGCGAGAAAACCGGAGAACACGGAGTTAAAAAGTTTGTTTCAATAGAAATATTACAGGAATTTTCACAATACTTCGAATCAAAATAAACAACACAAGGACAATGCGAACTAGCTTACTGTCATTATTATTGTGTGTACTCTGATAAGCCATGGCTGAGAACCAATCAGAAGCCAGAAGTTTATTGTATCAATTATATTTTTCAGGGAGCTCTTTTTCCATGTAACCACGCCATCTGGAGTAAATGGGCGCCTCCTCAGGAGAGGACTAGACTCTTTACTATTACTGTCGCTGGTAAGTAAACCGTGTCATAAGCATTTTCCAAGTTCACTACAAAGGATGGCTGGTCTAGCTTGGGTACATACTTCTTTTGTTCATCATGCCGTCTTTGGTGTAGTTTGCACCCAAGCTAGACCAGAATGCACCATGTTAGCTATCCCAAGTCTAGTTTTCATTTATACCATATAAGTCATGATGAATCAAAGGAGTTATACTCAAGCTAGACCAGAATGCACCATCTTAGCTATCCCAGTTGTAGCTTTGAACAACACTATAAAATGCCGGCATGACGAACAAAAAATGTTTGTACCCAAGCTAAACTAGGATGTACTATGTTGGCTATCCCAAAACGTCTATGGAAACTGAGATATTTTTAGCATGACATTGGGTTTGTTCTAAATACTTCTGATAGAATGTTTAACACTATCACCACAGGGTGCCCAGTCGGTACTATCTTGTCCATGCCTCTCAGTGGATTGATGTCAAAATACGGCTTTGATGGTGGATGGGCGTCTGTGTTCTATTGCTTCGGTAAGTCACCAAGCGATGGATCAGTTTGTTACCCAGGTTATAGACCCCTTACAGTACGTCGGAATGCAGCTCACTTTCGATGACAGTGACTGGGCCTCAGTCAGTGACTGGATTTTGAATCACAAAAAAATGTTTTTTGAATTTTCACCTTTTGAAAGGCCATGGATTATCTTCATGTATAGCAAAAGCATGCCCAACTTCTAAAACTTGTTTTCCTCTTCCGAATGTCCGAATTTTAAGTGTTTTTTTAATTTCGGAAAATCAGGAACCGTCCATAGCTGGAATGGACTGGACTTCGGTTGGCTGGATCGTACGGAACATAGACGTTTTTTTACGCCGAATTTGCAGCTTTTATACTATAATTGTTATTTTATTATCCATAACTAGTGATCCTATTTTGAAATTTTGCAAAAAAAATGTTTTTTATGTCTTGGATTGTGGCATTGGTTGAAGTCCACTGTGAAACAATAGGTTTCCAATTCTCAGGAATGGGAATTAGTTTGTTTTGTCCTCCAAATTGAGCTCCTTAGACGTCACATGCAAGGGGAGTAACCCAAGCTGAATCAGTTACTATGGTAACCACATGTCATGTTTTTTGGTTCAGGTGCTGTTGGCCTGATGTGGTTCTTTATTTGGCAGATGTCAATCCACGCCTCGCCTGCTGAGCATCCAACGATATCAGTAGAAGAGAAAGAATTCATTGAGAACGCCATTGCCGATACTTCAACCAAAAAGGTACATGGTAGCGATACCATCCGATCCAGATTTATCGTAAGATGCGAGAATTGTTAACCCCTGTATGTCATTCTACTCCTTCGTATGCTACCATCCGGTGTTTTGCCCGGTATCCCCGTACACCTTCGTATGCTACCCTCCGGTGTCTTGCCTATTATCCCCGTACACCGTTCGTATGCTACCCTCCGGTGTTTTGCCTAGTATCCCCGTACACCATTCGTATGCTACCCTCCGATGTTTTGCCTAGTATCCCCGTACACCGTTCGCATGCTACCCACCGGTGTTTTGCCTAGTATCCCCGTACACCGTTTGTTGATACCCATTTACAATCTTAGTGAAGAAATTTTTGGCCAAACTAAAGCGTTTGAAGTACACTGATAATTGTGCTAAAACATCGGAGCATCCGTCTGCAAGTACTAACCATCCAGGACAAAACAGAAAATCTCGTTTCCTTGGGATTGATCATCATCGGTTCATTCTTGAAGTGCATGCGCCATCGCAGTCGTCAGCCTCTGGGCTGATCTAAGTCAGGGCATGGCTAACTCACAGACCCAATTGGAATATAAGTAACGTGCTGGGTTTTGCGGAGCGAGGAAAACGATTATACCAAGCTGTTTCCTTTTGTATTGCAGATCAAGGTGCCATGGAAGTCCATCCTCACATCAGGACCTGTCTGGGCCGTCATTTTCGCTAACTTCACAGCTGACTGGGGCATGTACACCATTCTTATCTGCCTGCCAAAGTATTTCATTGAGGTCCTACACTTTGATCTTGCAAAGGTAAGCAAAGCTGGGCTTGATGGATCGTCGCCACGAAAAAAAAACAGACATGCGCAGTTGCATGGAATGCGTCACTCAAACAAACAACATATGTTTATTGTTCTGAGTTTACAAATAAATAAGTGTGGTTCGCATTGTAGATATTTATACCTCACATCCCTTTATTGCAGCAGCTACACTGTCGATAGTTTTGATGTGCAGCCCACAAGCTTGAGTATAATGAAAAAATCCAAACTAAAATATTAAACTTGGCTTCGGTTTTACACCATTTACGTCGAGTGTAATTATCTATCGATTGAATCATCTTTATATTATATATTTTATATTATATGGTCAGTTTTTAGGCCTATCTTGCCTTGCAACTACTTACTATATAGATTTCCTTCAAACTCGGCAGACGACAGAATTAGGTATGATCATTTATTTACCAAGAATCTGAAGTTTCATGTAAATCCATCGATTTTTAAGCGAGCAAGAGGACAATTTTGTGAAAAACCACTGTCAGAAAATCGGCCCGTAAGGGCAAACACGACTCAAAAATAAAATTAAAAATACACCGTTAAAAACCTAAATGTCTGAGCTACTTCATGTGCTAAATTAAGAAATATCTGAGTCCTTTTGACGCGCTGCGAGCGAGTTAAATAAAAACACAAAATGAATTCGAAATTAAGTCCTACCTCTTATCTTGCTTGAAAGATGGAGCTTTGTTGGTACTATACAGCCAATTTGACGTTGTGTGGGCCACAATTTTCTTTCGGTTTTACTCTCTCAGTTTCTGTAGTTTCATGGTTTAAGAATTGCTCACCATTCGACGCCACCCGAAGAAAGTTTGCGATTTATCAACATTTTCTTCTTTACAACCGCCATTTTGTAAAATATTCTGTATTGAATACATCCCAGGCGTTCTTCGTAGGATATTTTTTGGACGAAAATGACTGGTACTTAGCCTGCTGGCAATGTCCAATGGAGAAATTCCCAAACATTTTTGAAAAAATGCCGAAAAAAAAAAAACTCTTCCTTTAATTAACTATATTAATTGTTTTCCTGGAATGAAGCTTTCAAGTTGTGACGTGTTCACGACACGAACTGCTAAAGATAAGCTCTAAAATAAAATGAAAAATATTATAAATGATTTCACTTCCACATGAAGAAATAGTAAAATATTTTTATAGCAATGCTTTTGTTAATGTTTTTCTTATCTCCTCTTTTTCTTTCAAAGACTGGCTTTCTAGCAGCGCTGCCATACGTGCTGAAAGCAATAGTCGGTCCATCAGGAGGCATTTTGGTTGATTGGCTCATCAAAAACAAGATGAGTGTCAGAAACACTCGAAGATGTGTCTTTACTGTTGGTATGTAGGACAGTCCAAAAGGTTAACAGGACTGTTTACCACTCTTTTCATCGGCTACGCGCTGATCGAGACAACAGTACAACAGGGAAATAGGGCAATACACTGCCTCCAATCAGAGAATATAAAGGCACTGACCAATTTATTTGATTGACGGGAAGTGTATTGCCCAATTTCCCTGTCGCGACTGTTGTCTCGATTAGCGCGTAGCAATGAAAAGAGTGGTAAAAAGGCCAATGAAAGTAAAATTGATGGAAAAGAAAAAAAAGGAAAACAAGAGTAGACGAAAATAAGGAGGACATGCAAAGACATTAGACTCGAGCTCAAGAGAAGTTCTCTTAAAATGCCATAATTTCTTGGATGCGAGGGCTTATAGTCTCAGTCTTGAAAATAGCCCACACATTCTAGGTTGAAAAAATCATGGTATTTTTAAGAATAGTGAATACATCTACCTGTCTGTCTGTCTGTCTGTTCATCAATAATGTTGAGAACATACCTTTTCTCTGTTTAGGGTGTACCGTGGCATCAATCTTCGTACTCCTAACAGGATACGCTAATCATCCCTACCTGGCTGTCTTCCTGCTCACCATCGGTGTTGGTATTACAGGCATTAATGCAGCAGGTTATGCGGTCAATATCCTTGATATAGCACCTAAGTATGCCGGTGTTATTATGGGTGTCACGAACGTGTTTGGAGCAGCGCCTGGATTCATCAGCCCGCAAATTGTAGGCATTATCACACCAAATAAGGTAAGTGGAGTAATACAGATCAAGGTGCATTGCAGTCTAGCTTGGGTACAAACATCTTTTGCTCATCATGCCTTATATGGTGTTGATCAAAGCTAGACCTGGGAAAGACAAGATGCATTGTGGTCTAGCTTGGGTAAAAACACTTTTGATTTACCATGCATCATATGGTGTTGACCAAAACTAGCTTGGGTACGTACGACATGATTAAATTTTTTATTGATGAATTTGCATTGCTATTGAATTGTTAGACGGCTTCTGAATGGCGTGTCGTATTCTGGATCACCTTTATCGTCTACATCATTGGTATTGTACTATTTGGTCTCTTGGTATCGGGCGATAAGCAGCCTTGGGCCACGGAAAATGACGAGGAATCTGACAAAGACACAGAGAAGGGTGAAGAGAAGAAGAAAGACGAAGAAGATGGCAAGAAAGAGGAAGAAGAAGGCGAAAAAGACAAAAAAGAAGATGAGGAAAAGCCAACTGAATCAGCAGACGAGAAAAAAGACGACGAAGCAGAACCACCTGCTGAAGAAAAGAAAGACGAATAGATAGTTCATATTTGGCAAGATAAAATATGCAGTTATAGTTTTGAGCACTTGTAAAGATTTTGAATCTTCCTATCAAACAATAGTGAAAATTTCAATGGCCACTACTAGGGACTGGGACCGAGTTTCGAGAAATGACGTCATCTCATAACATAACTTCTCAAGAAGGGAGAGCCTATATAAAGCACTCAGTTGATGTAATGTGTAGACCCCTCAGTCGTTGCACGTGACGTCAAAGCAGCTCAATTTGGAGGACAAAACAAAAGAATTCCAATCTCCTGAGAATTGGAAACCTATTGTTATGTCATCCAAATTGAGCTGCATTCCGACGTGTTGCAAGGGGTCTATTCAGAAAATCTAGTGTATCCTATTGATGTTGTATTTATTGTATTAGGTGTGATTCATTGTATTTGTATGAATGCATTACATCAACTGCTTGCTACGTAGCCTCTTCCTTATAAGATCAAACTGAAAGCACATCAAATTAAATGGCATTTTGTTTATTCCAATAAAAAGAGGTAAACGTGAACTAGTTGGAATGTTTTGTACAAGTGACATTGATTGCAGGTTTATAATCTTCAGTAGTTCCACGCGGTTATTTAGAGATATTGCAGTTTTCGTATGACTGTGAAAAGTTCACGGCACGAACACGGTCGTGACACAGCAAGAGATACGCCAGACAAATCACATTGCACGAGAATTTACCCTCTATCCAATCAAATACCCGGAACACGGCATAAACACGGCGCGGACACGGTCACGCCAATATCACGGCACTTTTAGACCAATCATATTGCGCGTGAAAAAAATCAGCCAATTAAAATTCTAGAAAGTATCACGGTCACGKCACGTCACGCTTACGGCACTGAGCTTTTCACAGGCATACGAAAACTGCACTATTAGCCTAAGGCACGTTGAAGGAAAAAGTCGGTCGAGTTGCAGTGCATTTCGAGGCGGTTTAAGGGGACATATTTTCAAGATGGCGTCTATTTCGTCCCCTCAAACAGCCTTAAAATACACTTACTCTAATGAAACTCCACCAAGTTTTGCTCTCAAACTCGGAATGGCGATGTATGCATCCGTATAAGATTCTCCATGGTCACGTGATGGGCAGCCATGTTGGACGACAGGTACACTGAATTAAATCGTTTTGCATGAGGAAGAAGTTTTGTTTTGCCACCCACAAATAATCAATAAACTATGCGCAGTCCAGATTTCCTTAGTCCTATTCTAGTTTCATGTATCGAGTGTCAGTGTTCTTCGGGTGCATGTTACGTCATAGCCACCATGTTGGTTAACGAAACATTTCTCATTAGCTTCTTTCCTTAGATCAACCAACATGGCGCCTGTTTATTGTTATATATATCTCAAAGGATTTTGGGTAATGTGGTTGCACACATAGATATTTTAGTAAGTAATTATGTTAAATCTGTCCTTAATATTTCTGTCATCAAGCTGGAATTGCTCTAGTTAGATTAATGTAGTCTCGATGAGAAAGGTTAACTTTGTTTACCAGGAAAAAAAACTTCATAATCTTAAAACATTATTAGCTTCGACATTCGTGTACTTGACAAAATTTTAGTTAAGCAATTCACTAGTAGACCCTCTTTATTTTCTCGGTCAAAGTACCAGTTAAACGTACAAGTCAAAACTCACCTGAAAACTGAACTATCAAGTATCAGAAAATTAGGAATATATAGAGCAAACAGCAGGTACGTCGAACGCTTCGCTGAGTTCAACTTGTAGCATCACTAGATGATTTCAACATGGCTGCTGGCCATTTGATTCCTTAAAACTGCTTTTTGAAAACCAAGCAGCCGGTGAACTTCGACCAAAAACATTTCAAATCTATGTCATTCGTTTTGTGTTATCTCGTTAAAAGATGGCGGCGAATGAGCGAGGTATCGAGTCAGGGCTTACCAAGTTCCTCAACGCCATGTATCGATGTTTTCGAATCATTTCCAAATTTCTAATTTGTTGTCAATTTTGTGAGTGTAAATGCAAAACAAAACGAAGAAAAAATGGAAATTCGACTCAGAAAGGCAAAACTGCAGGCGCTACAACGGAAGATCGCTGTACAATGTGTTCTACGGACTCACAAGATAGTTTTACTTTCCCAAAACGCTATATTTTAGCCATAATGACCTTTCTAGGTTTTATGAATATGTATGCATTGAGAGTTAACCTGAATGTAGCATTAGGAGCAATGGTCAATAATCACACGGTACAAGTCGGAGGAATGACTTTCTTAAGGGTAAGTTTCTAAGTTTCTCTCGTTTTTATGTGTAATTATATCAGCTTTGTACTTCGAAATTTGGAATAAGCTACAAATCATAAATATTCATAAGGCAATAACTAAAGTATTTACTATTTATGGTTTATACAGTAATGGCAGTAAGCAAAACGGGATGATTAGGAATAGGTAACTCAACATTTTCTTTTTGTTTGCTTAGACTGCAGAATTCAATTGGGATTCGAAGTTGCAAGGTAGGTTAATATAAAAATAATCTTTAGACTCTATCAATAGAAAAAGCTTGAAAAGCATATATATATAAATAAATAAATAGAGAAAAAATGTATAGGAAAACAATGTCATATATATATCGTATTGAACACACCAAATGTTTATTAGTAATAGGTGTTGCAGTGATAGTACACTAGCTTATCAACTCTGCACTGAGTAGTCATGAGTCCAGGGTACATGAGATAAGGACTCGGCATGTCATGAGAGCAGAGCTGGTTAGGTCTCTCATGTCTTAGTTTTTATGGTTTTCTCATTATGAAGGCAATTAAAGATATCAGCATTATCATCATCCATACCATCATCAAAATCCTCCTCCTCCTCATTATCATCATCAAGATCATTATTTATCATTACCATCATCATCATCATCATCTTCATTAGAAGCAGCAGCAGCAGCATCACAATCATCATCACCATCATCATCACCATCATCACCATCATCACCATCATCACCGCCATCATCATCATCATCATCACTACCATCATCATCATCATCACCATCATCATTATCCCCATCATCACTATCATCATCATCACCATCATCACCGCCATCACCATCATCATTATCACCATCATCACCGCCATCATCATCATCACTACCATCATCATCATCATCATCACCATTATCACCATCATCACTATCATCATCATCACTATCATCATCATCATCATCATCACTACCATCATCATCATCATCACCATCATCATTATCACCACCATCACTATCATCATCATCACCATCATCACCGCCATCATCATCATCATCATCACTACCATCATCATCATCATCACTATCACCATCATCATTATCACCATCATCACTAACATCATCATCACCATCATCAACGCCATCACCATCATCATCATCACTACCATCATATTAGCAGCAGCATTATCGCCATCAACTTCATCATCATCATCATCCCCAACATCATCCTTATCATCATCACTACCATCATTGTCATCCCTATTCACCATTATTATCATTACCGTTTCAGGGATAGTTTTAGGGTCATTCTATTACGGTTATGCATTTCTACAAATCCCTGGTGCATGGCTGGCTCTTCGATATGGTGGTACTCGAGTATTTGGCTACGCTATATTCATGGCATCGATGTTTACTTTGCTGACTCCAATAGCAACTCGCGCTAGTGTTTATGGTCTCATAGGGGTACGAGCCGCGGAGGGCCTGGTATTGGTGAGATATATACATACATATATTCTTGAACTAAATTGAATAAAGAAATAAGAATGTACCTGAAATGGATTGGATGGACGTATAGGAATAAGATTGTACCTGAAATGGATTGGATGAACGTATAGGAATATGAATGTATCTGAAATGTATTGGATGGACGTATAGCAATAAGAATGGACCTGAAATGGATTGGATGGACGTATAGGAATAAGATTGTACCTGAAATGGATTGGATGGACGTATAGGAATATGAATGTATCTGAAATGGATTGGATGGACGTATAGCAATAAGAATGGACCTGAAATGGATTGGATGGACGTATAGGAATAAGATTGTCCCTGAAATGGATTGGATGAACGCATAGGAATATGAATGTATCTGAAATGGATTGCACGGACGTATAGCAATAAGAATGTACCTGAATTATATTGGATGAATGTATAGCAACAGACAATGCATATTATGGATCTCACGATCGCTCTTACCTTGAATAATTAGCATACTATTTTCTGTTTCAGGGAGCAGTGTTTCCATGTAACCATGCTATCTGGAGCAAATGGGCACCTCCTTTAGAAAGAACAACGTTAGTAACTCTGGCAATATCAGGTAACCTCGGACAATGAACTGTTACACTTGCTACTTCTTAGGCCATTTGAACCTTTTAGTTCTAAGTTCAACAGACATTATGCAATGGGGTCTAACTTCGATACTAATAATATACAATTATTTTATGAGGTTGAAAATAATATCGTAAATTATCAAGACCAAGGCCGTTTTATCCGCTTCAGCCAGGCTCAGCCTACGGCTTCGGCAGATAACACGGCCTTGGAAATTGGTCTTGATAATTTACGATATATGATGCTCAACCGAATTCAATAATTGTTATATTATTCATTTTGTAATCTAAGAATAAAGATTTAATTCTGCTTTCAAAGAAATAGCAAACGTATTTCAATCTCTATTGATGGTTTTCACGGCGGCCATTTTGGAGGAACTTAACAAAAGAATTTTCAATTAATTCTTTTGTTATATCCTCCAATTCTCTTGGGAATGGTTAAAAACCATCAATTGTGACCTTAAATTAACTTGACATAATAAATGTAATGGAAAACCTACATTTATCATGTCGAGTTCACAGGATATCATGGATTGGCTGAGGGCTCTCAGCCAATGAGAAGCAAGATAGTGAGTAAAATGTATTATAACATTTAATCTTATTATACCAACAGGTTGTCATGTTGGAACTATCATCACCATGCCACTCACTGGTTTACTGACAAGATATGGCTTCGATGGTGGATGGGCATCGGTCTTCTACTGCTTTGGTTGGTAGTGAAAATCAACTTGGTTTCCTAACACCTATTTTCATAAACATTGGAAATTGGTTTTTCACTGCCGCTAGTCAAAAATATATAAGTTACCGACTGATTGGTTTTGATTGACTGCAGGGAAAAAAACTAATTTCAGCGTGCAGCTCGCAGCTACCGAGTTTGCACTTTTATGAAAATAACAGTAATATCTAATTACATAGTTTTTAAATGTATTCTTAAGTCGTAAAATATTCGTTTCGTGCCAAACAGTATTATTTATGGAAGCAAGTTCTCTATGAAATGATAAAAAAGCGACCGCAATTGCTCGTAATCTAGACTTGCTTCTGCCGTGCTCTCCTGGATACTCCCAGCTCGTTGGTATTACATGAACAGTCCAGAGACACAAGAGGCCTTTTTATAGTAAAGTGCTTAGATCAAATGGTTGAAATTTTGTCTTCTTTTGCTCCCAGGTGCTGCTGGGATACTTTGGTTCGCAGCCTGGCAGCTTGTCGTGCACGAGTCACCCGAGGACCACCCGACCATTTCAGAACAAGAGAAGCAACTTATCTTGAAAGAAACAGAATCTATAAATGTGAGTAAGCTAAGCAGCCAAACAAAAGATTAAAAAAAAAATCAACACGTTGAGTGTTGTGAACTTAGAATATTAAATGTAGTGGTGTGTGAGAGTGAAAGTGGGTTGAACTTTACTCCCAAAAGGAATATAAGGAAGTACGAGGAGTTTAAGGAATCTAAAACGAGCGCGTTAATACACAGTACAGAGACAGTATTCAGTGTCGTAAGCGTTTTATATTGCTTTTGTACAATATTTATTGAATGATTTTGCGCGAGTTTCTCTGTCCTCTGATATAAACACAGAAGCCAGCCAATCATCGCGCGAGTTATATTTCATATATTTTATAATTTGTTATATAGAACCCAGATCCAGTTCCTTGGAAAGCGCTTCTGACGTCAGTTCCTGTGTGGGCTATTATGGCCGGGAATTTAGCAGCAGACTGGGGCCTATATACGATACTTATCTCATTACCAATGTACCTGATCGATATCTTGCATACAGACATCCAAACTGTGAGTAGCTGACGTCGTCACGTCTTCATAAATTAATTTCTTTGTGTCTTGGGAAGCATGGGTTGACGTAGCGTCGAGAGCGCTCGGCTCTCACCAATGCGACCTTGGTTCGCTCCCGGGTCGGTGTCATCCGTATATGTGAGCAAAAATCGGCTTCTGAATTCCAATTGAAATGCAGTAATGAAGCACGGTGACACTTAAAAGGAAATGCAGCAAGTTAGACGAGTTGCTGCATGTTAGACGAGTTGCTGCAAATAAGAAACAAGTTGCTGCCTGTTCAATGACAAATTAAAGCATTTCACGCGTAGTTTCCCGATTGAGACCGAGTTCTAGTTCTAGTGAAAATTACTTTCATTTTTAACGATTTCTCGAATAAATTATTCAAAATATTAGAATATATTAAAATATATATTTCATTTTCGTAGATAAACTTTTTAAAAGCGATTTTCTTCTGCTTAATAGATTTTAATCTGACGTGTTTGTCTTCCTCGGCACAGAATTTGAACCGAACTCTCTTCTTGGTACTTAGTAACAACATTTTATCCTTGCACTCTGTTGTCATGCGAATATTTTCTGAGATTTTTAAATGTTTAACGCTGTTACCTTTTTATCTGTTGCAGATGGGTTTTCTGGCTGCTGCGCCATTTTTAGTCAAGTCTTTGTCTGGTCCATTTGGTGGTATTACCGCTGACCTATTAAGAAGACGATGGCTTTCAACACGATCCGTTAGACGTCTTTATTATTCCGTTGGTAAGATTATGAATGAAAGGATTGTTTGAAATAGGAAGGGTCCATTCCATCCATCCATCTATCCATCCATCCATCCATCCATCCATCCATTTACCCACCCCTCCCTCCCTTCCTACCTACCTATCTACCTCTGTGCGTCCGTCCACTGATCCATCAATTTGTCTATCTGTCTTCACCTTCACCAGGAGCCATTTTTGCCGGTACATTCATAGTTGCAGCCGGTTATGCAACAAAAGCAACAGTTGCTATAGCATTGATGTGTGTGGGAGTAGCTTCCTCTGGACTATTGCATTCTGGGTACAACGTGAACATGTTGGACGTGGCGCCTACCTATGCGTGTATCATCATGGGAATGTGTAATACTCTAGGGACAACAGCTGGCTTTCTGAGCCCCATGTTAGTAGGGTATATCACTGCTGAGAAGGTAATTTAATAGCATCCAGTGCTTAATTTTATATAGCTTTCCGATAGACCTCTTTATCTTTGTATGCAAATTGCCCATTTCAGATCACATGGGTTGGTGGGTTGGTGGGTTGGTGGGTTGGTAGGTTGGTGGGTTGGTAGGTTGGTGGGTTGGTGGG